TTTATTTTTGTAATAAATTTGCAATTAAAATAAATTTTGTAATTTAAATCCAGAAAAGCCTTTGAAGATATTTTCAACAAATTAATAAAGATATAAGCAAAACCTTATCTTAATTTTAAAAAAAATAAAAAAAATAGTTTTTTAAATAAAATACTTCTAGCTTTATAGAATAAAAAGCCAATTATTTTAATAAATTTTGAGTAAATAATTTATAATTTTAAATATTAAATTATAAAATTTTAATTAAATCAAATATTTATCAAATTAAAACAAATTTGATTATATTTGAATTAGATTTGATTTAAAAATTTTAAATTTAAATTTGATTTGAAATTAAATATTTAATTAAATTAAATCAAATTATAGAATTTTAATAGTTAGACTAATACTTATAATTAAAAATATTTTGTTAAACAGTTATTATTACTCTATTTTTATATTTGTAAAGTTTACTAAGATCTTAGTATCTATTTTTTTAATATCTTTTTTATTATTTTTTGCTAATATTTTAACAAAATTCTTTAAATTACTAATTTAAATAATTTAGTATAATATATTTTTATATCTTTTTTTTTAATAAATTTAGTAATTTAATTTTTTTTTTGATGTTAAGGTGAGGCCTTGCTCATATTTTTATTAGTAATTCTAGTTGTACATATTAATATACTATATACTAAGATATACTAAGATTGTAAACTACAAAATAAAAATTACATGCAAGAATTAAAGCTCAGACAATTTTATCTGTAACCTAAACCAATTTAGTAATCTAATTAATTATATACTTTTTTATATATATTTATTATTTAGTTTATTTGTTTATTTTTTTAGAAGTTGTTTATAAGCTTCTATTAATTTAATAATATTATTAAAATTTTAAACTATTTTTTTATCTTTTTAGAAGTTGTTTATAAGCTTCTATTAATTTAATAATATTATTAAAATTTTAAACTATTTTTTTATTTAAGAATTTTCATGTAAGATTCTGTTTTTTTTTTATTTTTTAATCTTCCATATTTAATGAGTTTATTGTGAATTTGTATTAAAGTTTTATATAATATTGTTAAATATATATATATATATATATATAATGTTATACTTTGTATAAATTTTTTAAACTTTTAATAATAAGTAATGTCTAACTTAATATATTTAAGATTACAAATATATAAATCTAACTAATCATTAAGAAACAGTTATTATAACATATATATAATTTACAAATTTATTGTAGATAGAATTTGAACATTAAATCTGCTATTTAAAAGTAATAAACAACTTATTAACTACTTCAAGTTACTATATTCTTTATTTTAAAAATTATTAAATTTTATAAAATTAATAATTCTTAAAAGTTTACTAATTAATTTTAATTTTATATACTAAATAAATTTAGTTTATTTTATTTAAAATTAAAAAATATATATTTAAATTTAAATTTTTAATTAAAAAATTAAAAACTAAACATCTTTTTTAAAAACAAAAATAATTATACTCATTTAATTATAGTTTTAGATGTTAAACAAATTTGCTTAATGTATAAAGTTAAAATTAATTAATAAAATTTGAAGAATTATTAAATTTTATAAAATTTTATTAATAAATAAAATTTTATAAAATCCAATTATGTTCAAAATATTACTAATTAATTCTAATTTTATATATTAAGTAAACTTATTAAGCATTTAAAATTATATTAAATTAGTAAAATTAATTTTTGTTTTGAAAAAAATGCTTAGTTTTTGAATTTTAATTAAAAAATTTAAATTTAAGTATCATCTTTTCAAATTTTAAATAAGATAAAAACAATTCTACCCATATAAATCTTTTTTTTTGGTTTTTACCAAAAATATCTAAGCAACCACTTAATCAGTTTTGAAGAATTTTTTTTTTATTTGACTTTTACGAATTTGAAAATTTTAAATAAAAAAAAACTTATCAAATTTTGTCGGATGGTTTTCAAAATACCCTCAAGTTTAAAAATATCCGTGACAGAATTTTCTTGATTTTGATTGAAGATATCTCAACAATCATTCAACCAAATTTGATGTATTTTCACGGGTTGTGAACATATCAAACAAGGGTGTAGAAAAATCGGATCCATAACATTAACGTAATTCATGTATTAACTAATAATTTTATATTTTTAATAATGAATATATAGATTACTTTACTATACCATTCTCTTATTAAACTTTAGAATTAATGCACCGATACATAGAGACTCCAGTCCTATAAAATGCCAATATTTTATTACTATTTTATGTGACAAATGTATGTTTATTTAATCAATGGCCACATTTAAATTGACCATACAGTGGAATTGCTACGTAGCGTAATTTCTTACTGAAACCACTTAAACTCTGGAAAAATCTGTATGTACAGCTAGATTCCAGGCTTCCAGTCTTTCAGAGAACATTAATGTTTATCGATAAGCTATTGGGTTAATAAAAGCAAAAAGAAATTTACATGTAAATGAGAACCAGTATGTTGCTCTAAATTTGTCCGAATTATCCCGATCGGAAAATGTCGGAGTGTGATTTTCCTCCCAAATAAATTTTGAAAGATATCTATCCCGTGGAAGATATCATTCATTAAATATACCGTAAATTCTTGAAGTAATGGGAATTGGTGTTATTTCGAATTTTTGGTCCGAATTAAGCTTGGCAGAAATTCGAAATAACACACATGCCTTTATTATAATCGCTTTCTTTTTACAAAATTTTTTATAAGCACATTGGATAAAATTTTTTATAAGCACATTGGATAAAATTTTTTTATAAGCACATTGGATAAAATTTTTTTATAAGCACATTGGATAAAAATTTTTTTATAAGCACATGGATAAAAATTTTTTTATAAGCACATGGATAAATTTTTTTATAAACACATGGACAAAAATTTTTTTATAAACATGGTTACAATATTTTAAAACAAACTATTTATAAATATGCAAACACATTTAAAAAAAGAGACCATATGTATATTAGTTTCGCGAATAACATCGGGGGCATTATTTTGAAGTACATAATTCTTAGAAAGTTAAGAAAAGTTTTTTTTTTAATTATATAATGTAAAATTTTATTTTTAATAAGTAAAAATGTTTCATCAATTACACATTGCATAATTAGGAATTGATACGTATAACCCCGTTGTTTAAAAAAATGACGGGTTCAAATATCCGATACAAACAATAAATTTATCTTTGTTTAAAAAAAATAATCTTTACCTAAATTATTCTTTAGTTTTTTTTTGAACATTGTGTTTAGAAGTAACTTCAAGGAGCATTGTTTCGTGCAAATATGGTATGCCTTGGCAATTGTGATTATAAAGAGGTTTAACCTGTAATCGATAATTTACTCGATAAACAAATTATGATACGTACGTACAGTACATCCGATATACAATCAAAAAGGTGCCTTAATTCCCCCCACCACTTCACTATCGGAGAACTATAATAACACAGATACTCCGATACATGAATAATTAGTAGAACCAATCAGAAGTTGTGGGGGAAATTAGTAAATTCCAGTTAAAAAAAAAATTTTTATTATTATTATTTTTTTTTTTACAAGTTCGAATCTTGGAATATTCACCAAATAATTAATCGACAAAGAAGCATCTTGCATAATTATATATGTTGTATCTGGAGTGACAACCTATCTAAAGCAATCACTTTAGATAGCGATAGGTACGTGCGTATCTTAAGTAGTACTTGATCAGAATTAATGCATGAGGATCTAATTTTAGGGGTTTTTTTTAATTTCAATAAAGTAAATCAGGTGTCATATATCTAAAGATGTTACTACTCAGGATAGGTACGTAGGTAGGTACACCAAGTGTAACATATATATTAATTAACACCTTTTTCTTTTAGGATTTACAATTTAAGAAAAGAACGATTTCACATGGTAAGATAGTAGAAATACGAAACTAACCATATCGACACATAAATTTGAGATTTTATATTATATCGATATTGATATTAATGTTTATGTTTAATCTAACGCATGAATAAAAGGGACCTATGATTGATTTGGATTTTCAACATTTTATTTTAATCGTAATAAATTCTATATATAGAAATATATAGAAATATTCGAAGAAGCTTATCGGAACCAAGGTTTAAGGTTCGAAAAATGTAAGGAAATAAGAGTAAGAATTTCAAGAATACAATCGTATAACACGGAACGTGATAAATAATGTAGATAATTTTTTTTAAAATACTATTTTAATATATATGAAAATGATCTGCATATTATATTATGTAAGATTAAAGCGATAAAGTTTTTAAAATTTTTTTGTGCGAAAGTACAAAGCAGGGATATATTTCGTATTTTGGTCACAAATGTTAAGTTTAATGATTTTCCTGAATCATATAACGATATTGTATATTGATATTGTTTTACGTACGTACGTACGTATCTCTTTGTTGTATTCCTTTTTATTAATTATATTTTTTTACATTTTTAGACATACTTTTTATCCAGATTCCTCTATTTAGAAGTTTATTATTTTAAAATGAATTCCTGAATACGTCAGTATCAGTTTTCCATAACAGATGATGATAATTAGAGATCATATATTTATGTATTTATTAATTTTTTTTAAAAATTTACCAAATGCGATTAAGTAAATTATTTAGAAGAACAAAAAAAGAGTTAAAAAAAAAACCAGGGGAAGAGCTAATGAAGAACTAAAGGAATGAAATGATTAATCTTTTATGATAAAATCATAAAAAGTTAATATGCAATGAAGTAATGAATGAAAAGAATCATATACTACAATAATAAAGAATAATGTGTGTGAAAAAAATACCTATACATTTTTTTTTTTATTTTTAACTATGAACAAATGGTAAATACTATACAAAATAATGAAATAATAAACCCAATATTATATATAAGATTATATTACTAAAATGCAATCAAAATGAAGTCAATCTAATCTAAACACAAAAAATTCTACAATAAAAAAAAAAAAAAATGAATAATAAAAAATTATTTTTGACACATTTCCACACGAAAGATTTCAAAATCATCAATTTCAAAGAGTCCAGATTGATCAGTAATGTTGTCATCATAATCACGTTGTTTACAATAACAAAGGCGATTTTGTAATTGTAAATCACTTTTTCCAAAACATGGACCACGAAATCTTGAAAATTTTAAAGATGGACCTGGTGATATGAAATGATCTTTCGTTGCCTTTATAAAGTTACCTTTTTTACTATTACATAGTAAATTACCCATTTTACTATTACATAATAAATTACCCTTTTTATTATCACAATTATTCATTTTAATTCGTTTAGGTCTAGCGACTTTAGCCCTTTCTCTATTACCATCTTTATCGCATAAGGAAAAAATAAAAGCATTTTCGTCATGTTGAGTGGTTGTAAATAAAGGAGATTTCCAAGAAAAACAATTATAACCACCAATAATTTGGCAAGAATCTTTAAGTTTAATTACAGTTAATGTTGGAGCACCGTAATCATCACACCATCTATGAAAAGTTTCAGGGGAATAACCATCTCTACTTGCTCTAAAAATTAGAGAGAAATTAAAGGGAATTGGATGAAGAAGGTTATCGGTAGGTTTGCCCTTAATCCAATCAGATATTTGAGGTAGATGAGAGATAGAAATTATTATTGAATCGATTTGTTGAGAACGTTTGATATTGGAAACATTTACAATATTTTTTTTGATATCAAAGTTAAATTTGTTATCAATATTAAAAGTATTACTTTTGATATCGTTAAAAATGTTCAAATTATTATCAAAATTAAGCATATTCCCTTTACTATCGTTAAACATGAAGTCCTTGTTATCGAAATTAAGCATATCCCCTTTACTATCGTTAAAAATGAGGTCATTGTTATTTAAGTTAATGGAACTCTCTTTGTTATCAAAGTTAATGGAGTTCTCTTTGTTATCAAAGTTAATGATGATTCCATTATTATCAAAATTAATGAGATTCTCTTTGTCATCAAAGTTAATAGTATTCAAATTGTTAGAAAGAATACAATCATATTCTTGAGTTGGAATTATTGCCAAGACATTTTTTGGTAAAAGTTCGGAAAAAGGTTTAACATATTTATAAAGATCTCTTCTTGAAATATGTTCGAACCTAACTAATGGAATAATATTAATCAAACGAGATTTTAAGAGTTCCCAATCGTCTAGAGTCCAATAATCAATATTTGAACCCGATAAATAAGGTATTTTAGAAATACCCCATCTAATTACTATATTCCAAATTGAAAGTTCGTCCATTTGAAGAGCATCCATGTTTAATAATTCAGATAAAGTCTTTTCATCAACTAAATGAATGGATTGATTATTTAAAAGTAATTTTGGGTCTTGACCAATCATTTGTAAACAAAAGTTGCGTAATAACTCTAAAGTTGGTAAGTTTGATATTACTTTATAAACTAATAGAAAATTGTTACGTAACCATTCTGAACGATTTGCTATTAAGGAACGTTGTTCATGTAATGACAATAGACTAAGACCTAATTCGTCAGCAGCCACTATACGATTTAAACAACTTTTTCCATCAGTTGGAGCACCTTCAAAAGATAATTTTTCCGTATATAAATGACTATTAAGTAAGTAAGTAAGTAAGTAAATAATGAGTAAATAAGTAAGTAAATAATAAGTAAATAAGTAAGTTATATAAATTCAATAATTCAATGACAAAAATAATCAAAGACTTACTTTAGTATAAAATTAAATACTTCAGGAGAAATAGTTGGTAAACTTAATACGATTAAATTCTCCTGTTTTCTTACCCACTCGCTTGATAAAGCAGCTTGAAAATACTTTGATCTACGTTTTAACACGTCGGAATGTAAATAAAAGGACATTACATTTGGAGGATCTCCAGCAAGAATTATTACATCATGATTTTTATCGTCCTTTTGATAAAATTTTTCCAATTTACACGTATCCATTTTTTTTTTTTGGTTTGTTTTTTCTTGTAAGATTTTTTTAATAGGGAATATTATTAAAAATTTTTTTTCTAAATGAGTGAATTTATAAGATTATTAGGCTCATTGAACCATTGATATTTTTACGGAGGGCCCACCTTTTTTATTTTCGATGGCTATATTTATATATAAATCTTACATTTTAATTTATATATTATATCTTAATTTATATATTATATCTTAATTTATATACGGCTTAGTGATGGATGTGCATCAGTGTATATCGATATATGCATACATACCTGGTATGTATTTCACACAAAAAAATAACAAAAGAAATCCGAATAATCACAAATAATTATATGTACATTATCACCTTACATAATTATTAATTAAAGGTTGAACAATGAAACCTAATCAATTGCAAATTATCTAAATTTTGCTTCACATAAATATTTTTACTTAAAAACAAAAGAAAAAATAAAATAAAATAAAATAAAAATAAGCAGAAAAAAAAAAGATTAAGTAGATAAAATAGATATAAAATAGATATAAAATAGATCTTTAAACGGACACTAACCTAACCTTATGATCTGATTTAATAATACAATTTTTTTTTTGTCTTTTGTATTAAAATGGATATTGTTAATCAATTTGCCCGGTCACAACGACAACAAATGGTTATTTGAATTTAATTTTACTATTTTTAGTACCAGGTTTATAATCATATTAGCATATCGATATTAGTTAGGAGGATTTACTATTTATGTATAGTATATACGGATGTTAAAGAAGGAATACAAATTCTATGTATAAAGTTATGTAATCAATGCACCAAATCTTTCTCCGCAAATACAAATGGAAATTTGTATTTCTCTGTTTAGATGTGCGTTATGCATTGATAAAGTACGTAGCATTGATAAAGTAGCATTGATAAAGTAACGTTAATAAAACATTGATAAAGTAACATTAATAAAAAATAAATCTCCACTGAATAGGTGATCTGTATGGTATAGTACCCCCTTTTATGGCTTTACAAGGAGAATGTCATGAATGCTTAGATGGTGTTTAAATATGCCTAGATGACGTTTAAATATGTTTAATTATGTTCAAATATGGTTAAATATTTTAAGAAGTTCTTATATGAGAGCGGTCGAGATCTCACGTGGGGCAATCTTGGAACATATGGAGTGTACAATGATCTCAATGTACATAATCCAACTCTAATTTATTGTTGTAGAATAACAATTCGGATGCAGATAAAGAAGAATGAAAGTGATCAAGGGAGTAACCGAGAGCAGTCGAGGGAAAATGGAAGCAACCGAGGAAAATTGGAAGCAGCCGAGAGCGGCCGAGCGAAAATGAGATCCTAATTTATCGTTATCATTTATTGTTCACCAGATTAACTAGATTAACCAGATTCAGCTGCATATTTCATCAGCCTCAATTCATTAATTAATTAACAGGTTTTTAAATGGTAAACAAGCTTGAAAGCCTAAGTCACATTTTCCCTTAGAAGCTTTCATTTAGTATCATGTGCCCAATACCATTATTAACATTTCGATGTTTATCACAAAATGACGATAATAATAATATTAATAATAATAATAATAATAATAATAATAGGCAGGTTAACAATATCTTAACCTGAGGGCTTTCTCAGTTTAGTATTCTCATAGAGATCATACGTTACATACGTATAAATGTTACATATGATATGTACGCATATGGTTATCTGTGAATACTACGTATCGGTATGAATACTGGCAATTTACGAGAAATCCCTTCGTTATCTGTATAACTCTGCAAGTACTTACGTACGTACGTATGTGGTATGTATATGCGTTGTCGCTCAATTTCTCAAAAGTTAGTTCTACCTATACATTTTTAGCAAGTTGTCACCCTGCGTGATGTCGAATGGAAAATCGTACCATAACCTAACCGTAACCTAACCTTAACCCGCGTATGCTGTCAAGCCCAAACCCTTGAACTAACGCTTTAGGAATGCTTTCTAAATCTGTGTTTATTTGGTTCAAATATATATCCTATATGCCTATATGAATACTTGTATCATATATATATGTATATCCTAAAAAAAAAAAAAACTAATAATAAAAATTTTTTAAGGGTAGATGTATCTTTTTTACGGAATATTAATATTCCTTTTATTAAATCTATCTATATTGAATTATATATTTGATCCTATAGTAAATTAGGAATTAATTAATACCGAAAAAGGTATTTTTATTCGTATCTTCAACCTTATCCTTGTCTATGAAATAGCTTATTTCACCTGGTCTTATGCTTCGTGTCAACTTTAATTCTATAAAAAAAAAAATTCTCTAAAAATATCATTAATGTCATACCATATAATCTTGAAACATTAATTTTATCCAGGCTTGATTTCAGTAAATACAGTAAATATACAATTTGTTCGGGATTTACGTGTTATTACTCGCATTTCCCGAGCTAATAATTAAATACGTATTAATTTCCGGTTAATTATTAATTTCCGGCTAATTATTAATTCCTATACTTTATATGTTAATTTCTAGAATTTAACGAGGACATAATAACTTGTGAACAAAGAAATGTGATAAAAGTGAATTAGTAACACGAGTCTCAATAATGTCGCCATATGAAATGATAAATAATACTTATTCACTGTATTGGGGAAATACCTTCATTTGTTTGAATGTGTCACATCGCTAAAGAATTTGGCCATGACATATGGCAACGGTCCTCGGTGCTGTACGTTTTGTTTTTCTTTTGCCTTATCACGTATTACTTTTCATTCTTTAAGCTTGAAAATCTAGTTTAAACCATTTTTATCTTAATAAAATTTGTTGTTATTTTTTTTAAAATCCCAATTTCCCCATGTACAACATTAGTGTTCCAACCACTTCCTGTATCCCCGTATCCCCGTATCACAGACAAAACTTCTTAAAAAAATTACGTTAGAGTTAGGATTAAGGTTGTAACTCGACATATAGTAATACCAAATCTTGCAAGGAAATTTGTTTTATTAAAATGCAAAAAATGCAGAAGGGTAGTTCATAGACAAAATTTTGAATCCTTATTTAAATTCTTACTACGTAGTTTTTTTTTAAAAAATGTATAATCTTTATATTGTTCCTAATTTTGTAATTTATTCATTTTTATTTTTTATATTATTATTATTATATAATTAATGTAAATTTATAATATATTATTATATAATTTTTTATATAGTATATTATTATTTAAAGTTTAATGGTTTAATATAAACAAAAAATTGTCTAATATTGTAATATAAACAAAATTTGTTTAATATAAACAAAAAGCATCATAAAAAAGTTTTATTTATTTAATTAAATTATTTAAGAGGTAAATCGCAAATTTAATAGTAGAAATTTTAATAGTAGAAATTTTAATAGTAGAAATTTTAATAGTAGAAATGTTAATAGTAGAAATGTTAATAGTAGAAATTTTAATAGTAGAAATTTTAATAGTAGAAATTATTGAAACTTTCGGTATTCCAAAAACTATATGCTTCGCCGATTTTTACTATGAAATTTATATCTATCTACCACTTAATCTATTATTTTATAAATAAAAATATATTACCGTTACTAATATACAGTGGAGATCATAAATAATGCAACCAAAAAAATTTTTTTTGGTTAGATCGAATTTGTTTCACGTAATTTCGAGCGCGTCTGTTAACTTTTATTCCTAAATACTATAGCTTTAAAAAATAAAAATATTTTTTGCTCGTTTTAAATTATCATTTTACTATTGTTATTATATATTTCTTTTATATCTAATTAAAAAAATAACTTTGCGAATAACATATTCATAATCTCTGATGGTATTCGTATATTTTTACAAACAATCCATTAGTGAAACTCATTATTAGTTGTGTAATCGAGCTTACTAAAGCCTTCGTATAATAAAATTAAATGTAACACTATTTAAGTCTAATTTAAAAGCTATCTATAACTTCTCACAATCTTCCGATCGAAAAACCTTAAAATTTTGAATCATTAGATTGAATTACCTAAGATTAGCTTTGGCGAACTTATTTTTACTCATATTTACGTCGGTAGGATTTTTTTTACTTAATCCCTAATATTAAAATATTAACCTATTGAAACATAAATATCATTATTTTTTTTTTTAAAGTAAAACTATACTTAACTGACAACTAAGCGACAATCAATGATTATTCAATTTAATGTTCTTGTCTGGGTACAACAACTTTTATAAACAACAAAAAGCCGTAAAAAAACCAATATTATGCGTCCGATCTATCACTTTTGTGGCATACCACTTTTACGGCGAAGAAGAAACTCGGGATTCTTTGGACTGTAGCATATAGGTGCTTTATCGTAGTACAGAGATCTTTGTCAAAATAAAGCAACACGTGATTTGTAATAAATGCACAAAAACTTATTTCTTTACTTCTCAAACATTATAATAAGAGATGCATTACGGCGAATTTATGAAATACCTCAAAATTTGAAAATTTTAACCACTAATAAAACAACAACGATTCTTGGCTGAAATAATTACTATCCTTGGGTGAGGGTGCGTCATTATAATAGATTTCCATGTCTAATAAGATACGTCATGGGTGCAATCAAGATCAGGGTTTAAAAACTTTTTCAGGGTTTAACATTATGTAATTCGGTAACCAAAATTTAAAATTGGCGACCAAATACTTATATTTGGTGACCAAATTTTAACTTAAATTTCATAGCGGTAATGGTATAAATGAAACACTATTACAAATATTGCAGCTTTTGTTAAAAAAGAATTTCTTGTCAAATTTACATAGCCAAAATCGATTATTTTTGATTATAATAAACTTTCATACTGTATAACCTAATCACATCAAATCTGCACAACTTAAGACTTCTTAATGGGGTCACTTGATCCCTAAGGAGTATAATTTCAGTACTCCGATTAAGCCCAACCAATCAAATGGATTATTATTAGTCTTAAAATTTCTGTTGTATAATCGATATACCTAAAAGGCTGAAATCTGGTTTTCACATGGTGTTACTCTGTTTTTTTTATTTATTTATTATTTATTTATTTATTTTGTTCAGACTACTATTTTAATTAATTATTTAATCGATGGATTTAAGAAATCTATAGTGAATTCGTTATTACACAACACCAATTTCACACATATATTTATGTCTAATTTAGTGGATTAAGGTAAATTTAATAGGTATTCATGTGTCAACTTTATAACTCAGTGTTGCACGAAAATCTTAATCGGACCATCAGACCAACTTTGACCAATTTGACCAACTTTGATCAACTTTGATCAACTTTGACCAATTTCGACTGGTATATTTTATAGTATATATTAAATATATATTTCGGTATTTGTTATCAAGAATTAATATAAAGTTTTTGCTTTTTTTTGGAGATAGGTTAGGACTTAATACGTATTAGGGTTATTATTAAGAGGGTATACTGTACGTATATGTAAATTTTTGATATGTAGGTACAGTATATGTAGATTTAATATATAAATTTAAATATCAGATATAGACTTCAGCCGTACAGTCGTGTAACTAAATACAAATTATATATTAAATTATTATAATATCAAATGTATTATTTTTGACATGCTGTCATATATTAACATTAAGTTAATGTTACAATATCGATATCATAAGAAGTCTACGTAGAAGCATTTTGTAATTGGCTTAAATAATATTAGTAAAACAAACTATATGCCGATAGATATATTTTGTATCTAGAATGAATTTACTAATTTTATTTTAAGTTAACGTAAAGCCAGTCAAGGATAAGCAATTTGCATTGATACACTACAGAATTTACCTGATAAAGAACAATTTCGGAATGATCATTTATCGTTAGAAATGTTCAAAAAAATTAAATTTTTTAATAATTAGTCATCATAAAAAGTTTTTTTTTTAAAGTTTGTATGAATTATTATTTATTTTATAATAATTGATTTTACAATAATAGATATGTATCTACTTTCTTTTTAGATGGTTAATCTATATAGCAAAGGAATCAATTCTTTATTTGAGAAATCAAACTTTTATCGTGAAATCTCGGAATAATAATTATTAAATACGTATTTTCGATTATATCGTCATTTCGAGTAAGCATACATGTGTTAAATGCTTAATCTTATTATTACAATAAAATTGTATATTATCAATCTATTGATATGTTGTCTTACTTTAGATGCACATAGGATTATTTCGAAACTTGAGCGCGCAATTTTCGTTTTTTTTTTGCTATCTTCGTCATGTTTAAAAGGATTATTTTGCGATTTTGCCGTTTTTTTACGATCTTACAATCTTATGATCAAAATTATTGATATCATAACCTAT